ACTATACTAGAGATGTAAAATAAATAAAAATATTAAATAAAAAATAGTAAGTAATGATTCATTTAGAAAGAACTTAGTCATATGGTATACTTCTACAATACCATGAAGTACCTGTTTATTCAACATAGCCAATATTCATTTCTTATATGTAAAATTAACTTTGAGAGTATTTATGTTCTATGTTCCTTTGAAATACCACTGATGACATGATTCTTTTACCTTCATAAATACTCTCTCATATATGGATTTTAGACATAGATCTGGGGAGTGCCAGCCTACAATCCTATGGCCAGAGAGTCTGGGAAACAGAAACTTCATTTAGTGGCTGATTGAGGAAGAGGCAGACTCCCTCGTTTAAGTACTGAGCTGAACTCAAGAAAGCCAGTAACAGAGAGGGAGGACTGATGATCAAAGGGATTAAGACTGGGCTGGTTTAACCCCCAGAAACAGCTGACCAGACAAAGGTTAACTCTTGAATCCCAGGCATCAGCCTGGGAATCCAGCATGGGACTGACCAAGACCCCCTGAATCTGGGTGTCAGTGAGGAGGCCTAGGTAATCTATTGAGCCTTGGGCAGCAGATCAGTACCCATCCCAAGTATACACACGGACTTTGGACTCCCATAGAACAATGTGAGGTGCACTCTCACCCTGAACTCTTGGAGAAGGGTCTAGGCCCTGCCCTATATGAAATGACAGACTATGGACACCCCCATGGAGGGCCTCACCCTCCCTGGAGGAATGAGGGATAACGGGGGGGGTGGGGGGAGGGCACGGGAGGAGGGGAGAGAAAGGGAGGGGGACCTGGAACTGACTTGTGAAGCAACCTTGTTTCTTATCTAAATTTAAACTGGAAAATAAAATAAAAATAAATAAACACATTTTCTTCCAGAAACACCACTATACATTGTAGTTTATATTTTGATTCTATTTGACTAAATTGTGGAAAAATTTCTTTCACAATAGTATTTTACATTCACACTAATCAATTATCAAATTCTTGCATATATAATTGCTATTACAAAGTTTAAATTATATCATGGTAGTAGTTTTCATTTTATTTCCATATATTAGATAAAATCACAAGAATTTTCAAAGTATAATTGACTTTTGTTCAAATAGTATATTTTTTGACATCTCCACTCATATTGCTATTCATTGCAATAATAATTTCTCCTATATAAAAATATTTAAAATATTAAGACTTTAGTTACTAATACAAGATAGTACTATTTTTTTCATTTTATTTCTATTATGTATTTTGCAATTGCTATGTTTAATTTCATTTGCTTCTAATTAACACTCTTCCACTGGAGGTAAATTACCTTTTTTATTTTTAACTTAATGATTATATTTTTTGTTAAGGATTCTATAACACAAACTGAAGATGGCAAGAGAAGTCATACTTGCAATGACAAGAATGCACTAAGAATCATAATGACTGCAAATATTTGTGTCCTTAAATTTTTAATGTGCATTTTCTGATGTACTTGTAGACATGCAGGTTCATTAATGAAAGGGCTATTAATTATATCCGATGCACCAAATTAACTAAAGGAAATCAATGCCATTCTCTCCATTCCTCTGTTTCCAGGCTGGGAAGATTTCTCACTTCATTCCCTATTTCCTTGCTGGAATTTTACCACTCTGTGGTTTCCTCACTGTGGTTGTCCTCCAACATCACTTTATAGATGGCTAACACACATATAAATCACCGTTAACTCTCATTATGCTTGTCTTCATTATAATAGTGATCTTTGTTAAAGCTAGGAAAATGTTAACTTCCTCTTGAGAAAACTGTTGGGGAAATATTGTCTTCATGACAGTAAGGGAAGCAGACTTTGGAATATTCAGTGGATAGATGGTAGTTGGATGTAGAAACATCTGTATACAGAGGGGTAAGTTTATCCACATCTATAGTTGCTAGGCAGGCCTGTATTTTCTCCTCTTCGCCCAGGGCAGATAACCATAGGAGAGCATGTGGTTCTTCTGCTCAGTCTTTTATTTCATTTTATTTTATTTTATTTAAAAAACGTTTTCATGTATTTAAGTATGGATCACAGCAGTTTTCCCTCTCTTCTCTCCTGCCAGCCCCGCTCTGGCCTCCACTTCCAGCCTTCAGCACAATATACAGAAACGGGCAGGCCTCCCCTGGGCTTGAACAAAGCATGGCACAGCCAGTTGAAATAGCTCCTCTTCTTGCCTCAAGGATGGCCAAGGTAATCCAGCATGGGGAACAGGTTCTCAAAAGCCAGCTAAGTGTCCATCCCTCCATGTTTCCTCCCTCCTGCTTAGTCTTAATGGCAGTGTGCAGGCTCCTATTTACCCCTCCCTACCTAGGGTACACAGCTCAGGCATGTCTGTTGGTCTTTTTCTCCTGTTCTGTCTTTAATTCAAGATATTTTTTTCTCCTCCCTGGCTAGGATGCTTGTCAGTCTTCTACTGCTCAATATTAGTGCCACTGGGGACTGCAGTGTTTTCTCCTCCCTGTCACTGGTGTGGAGGCCTGGGTGGGTTTGTGGGTCTTCTTCTACCATTCAGGATTACTGGAGTTTAGAAAGTTCATATTTCCCCTCCCTGCCCAAGGTGGTGATGCTCAGTGTCTCCTGCTCTGTCTTAATTGCCTCTGTATCCTTTTATTATCAAGTGAGGTTTTCCAGAATTAACTTAGAATTCATTACATAACACTGAGATTTATTAAACACATTAGGCAAATTAAGAGTTTATAATGCATGCATCACCTGTGTACTTCTTAAAGGTATTACAAATCCCCCTGTGACTGACTAGTAACAAAGTGCGAGAGGACCAAAGTCTACTACGTTTATAATTTGCCTTTTGTTGTTTGTTATACTTCAGAGTTTTACTGTTGCCTCTGCTTCTTAATTTAGTTTATTCCTAAATTTGAGCTCTTCTCAAATTATTATTGCACATTGCTTGCTTCAGAGTTCCTTTTGAACTGTGACTCTCATTCTCTCCACAAATCTACTTCAATGCCTTTGGCTATATTTCTATACTTAAGCTTATTACTTGTTTTTTAGTTATGAAATTTATAGTATCAAAGACATTAAACCCAGACCTATTAATTATACATTTAGTAGAACTTTAGTATAATATTTTCAGAGTTTGCTGATATTTTTCTAATCAACTTTTTATATTAAACCCTCGTAATCCAACTATTGGTTTGTGATTCTAAAAAAATAATGATTATTTTATTACATGTCAGAAGTATTGTCGTCAGTCATAACTAAGTTACAAGTAATTTCTTGCTGTGAATTGACATCTATTTTATCTCAAAGCTTGCGATGGTTGAAAATATGCTTTCATATATTGATTTATTCCTATCTTGCTTGAAATATTTTGATTCTTTGTAATTTAAATTAAGGAATTGATGTGGGAAGGAAGTAAAAGTTGTTTCTAAAGGATGAATTTGTTTTTAATTCAAGTGTATTGCCTAAAATACCAGTGTAGGTTTGCTATATACATTGTTGTATATTATATCACCTCCTAAGTAACTGAGTATCTTAGCTAGCAGAAATAAGCAAAATTTTTGCTATTATTCGTGTTTTGTGAAATCGTTTTATTCTTTGATAAAGTTTGCTTGAATTGGTGTTGTTTTCAAGTTTTCCAACTCATTATTTTTCATGGACTCCAGGTGTTTACTAGACTTATGCAGAAAGTTATTAATCAAAACAATTTTGTTATTCTGAAATGATGTTATTTCAGAAAACATTAGATAAACTTAATGATTTCCCCTGGTCATAGGCCCAAGGAAAACCTTCTACTATTATTTAGTCAAAGGACATAACATCAAAATGGATCCTAATGAGATATTGCTATTTCTATAGACGGTGTCTTGCTCAACCCCCACCCGAGAAGCTTCTTTGTTGTAGTATGTAGTAAGTAACACGGAGACCCACAAGTGGAAAATGTGCAGAAAGTAAGGTACTTTGCAGCATCCATCCCTGAATCAAATGTCTTTATCAAAGGTCTTCTTTCAAGGCTCTGGAATCTGTGTGCAAGAGGAGGTAGAAAGGTTATAAGAGTCATAGGTGGTACATGAGCCAATGACAGAGCATCTTCTAGAATCAAGTGGGTGATGCACATATGAACTCACAGATGCTCTGACAGTATACACAAAACCTCCACAGTTCCAAAACATATGGAGTCTCACCACAGAGAAAGTAAAGCAGACACAGTCCACTCCAAACCAAAAGGCTATTTGTGATTGATATCTTCTGGGAAAGAGAAAATCAGTTTTCTCCAGTGGAGTATAATTGGGTATATCAATTGAAAGACCAAGACAGGTCTCATGTCTAGGATTAGGTGAATAACAAAATGGAATGCATTCTTTTTTTTCATTTGTATGTTTTGGTTTTGTCTTGATTTGACTTAATTTGGTCTTTTAATCTTTGTTTTCAGTTTTCATTCTTTTGAAAGAGATAAACAACTTAAACTTGAATGGGTAAGATGGTTATGTGAAACTGATAGGAATTGGGTAAGGGGAAAGAATATAATCAAAATATATGAAAAAATTGAAATAAGGTATGTATTGCATGTGTTTAAGTTGATGTATGTTTGAGTATTATATGGTTCATAATTTAGTTATTTTAGTACATCATATTTTTCTCATTTAATTTTATTTTTGAGTTTATAATATGATTATATTTTCCCCTCCCCTTTCTTCCTTTAAAACTCTCCATGTACCAATAACCAAACTGCTTCAAGTTCCTGGAGAGTTTTCATTAATGGCTACTACATGCATATGTATATGCATATATATTCCTAATCAGTCTGTATAATGTTACGCCTATGCATGTTTTCAGGACTGACCACTTCTCTGGCACCCAGCTCTCATCAGTTGCCTGGTGGTCTTTACATAGGGCTGAGACCAAGTGGGCCTTTCCCCATCCCCTTTGGAATGTCTGTTGGTATGGCCCCTGTTCAGATCACAATTAGGCAGTTGTGTTGGTGAAACCTTACAATTCTGACATTGCTAGGAGACAGACTATCTTGGTAAACTAATTCCCTGTTCCTCTGGATGTTATGGTCTCTCTGCCCCTCCTCAGCTGTGTTCCCCAAGCTTCAGGTACAGGAGTAATTTGTAAGTGTGTCCATTGGGAGTGAGCTCCACAACTCTGCATTTGGATTGATTGTAGTTTTCTGTAATGGTCTCCATCTATTGCAAAGAGAAATTTCCCAGATAAGGGTTGAAGATGACACTTTTATGTAACTATAGTGACAAATGTTTATAAATGCTGTTTGGAATTGTGCTCATTTAGTAAAATGGCAGCTATATGTGGCGCCCATGCCATGAGCAAGTCCAAAGTATTGGGAAATGAAAGACAAGATGACTGGCCGTTTGTGCTAAGAGAATGCTTGTGTCTGTACATCTTTATTGGAAGTGCTAAGAGGTCTCTCTCCTTGTAGAGAGGGAGTAGCCTTGTATGCAGACTTAGAGCAAAGTGGAGAAACCCCAGGTGGAAGAGATCATGTTTTCCTCGTGTTAGATGTTGATGTCAGTGGGGCAAGGACGGGTCAGTAAGCCTGAACTAGATAACAAGATGCACTTGGACTGGAAAACAGGATGTACTTGTTGATTGACCAGTGATTCACAGAGACTACGAAGGGAATCAGAGCCAAGAGTTATAAGTTCTCTTTTAATAGAAATGATTTTACTATCACTGAGTAGTTAGCTAGGTTGCCAGTACTAAGAGTGCTTTCCTGCTTGTGAGAGTATCTTAATTCCAACAAAGAACTGTTGTTTACCACAAAGGTATGTATGCCACTATTTCACCCTGAAGATTATTGTGCCATTCTGGTCATTGGTGTTAATCATAGAAGTAAAATAGTTGCATAGAACTCTTAGTTGTCTTCTTCCTTTGGAAGCTTGCATGATGAGTTTTGGTACCAAGAAAAGTATTTCCTGGTAAGGAAGCATTCTTGTCAGTTCCAGTCCAGCAGTTCAGCAATGGGAACTTACTTTATACCTCTTGAGATACCAAGAGCAACAGTAATATTCCTGTATGGTTTTAATTAACTCTTCTCATCTGGCATACTTATAAACAGAATCATGTAAAACATTTGACATTTCTTTAAATAAATAGCTGATAACATTGTTCCTTACTTTAAGGTGATGTATTTCAAATAATTATTTTTATAGAATATGAATGTCAGATCATATCCAATAAAAGTATCTTTTGTATTTTAAAAATAAAAGTAAAATTTTTAAGTAAGTCAAGATAGCTAGAAGTGATCATTCTGAGCCAACGGAAAAGACAACACATGTTTTGTCTGAGTTATAGATGCTATTTTTTGAGTCTACAGACAGGTATACTTCTTTTGGAATTACCATATTTTTCAGGATTTACTAAATGACCATGGACAGAGTCTTTTAAGAGAGAGGATATAGAATACACTGGCATAAAGAGTTAAAGGGGAAAATGTTTTGGGTGATCATAGAGCAGTATATAGAAGAGAGAATGTGAAGGGATAAATTGCATAAAATTCCTTTTGAAAAGCCTCAAAGGGAAACCTCTACTATAAAAAGAAGTAAAATGTGCAGCTACTTTGGAGATCAGTCTGGAGATTCCTCAGAAAAATGGAAATCAGTCTACCACAAGATCCAGCAAAATTCCACTCTTAGGCATATACTCGAAAAATGTACCCTCATACAATAAGGACATCTGCTCAACTATGTTCATAGCAGCATTGTTTGTAATAGCCAGAACATGGAAAGAACCTATTTTCCCCTCAACTGTAGAGTGGATAGAGAAAATGTGGTACATTTACACAAGGGAGTAGTACTCAGCAGGAAAAAAAATTGGAATCTTGAAATTTACAGGCAAATGGATGGCACTGGAAGAAACCATTCTGAGTGAGGTATGTACAAAAAGACAAGCATGGTATGTACTCACTCATATGTGGATTTTAGACATGGAGTAGGGCATTGTCAGCTCACAATCCCACTACCAGAGAGTCTGGGGTACAAGAAGGAGCCTAAGAGAGATATGCATGGTAACCCGAAGAAGGGTTAGGGGATGTGATCTCCTAATTGGATGGGGGGGGGAGAAGGGGAGGGTAGAAGGAGATGGGAGAAAGAGATGGAGAAGGAAGGAGGGGAGAAGAGGACATGGGAGAACAGAAAGGTTGAGCATGGGTAAGCATAGAGGAGAAAAGGATGGGAGATACCATAAAAGAGGGAACCAGTATAAATTGGAGGAGAGATCTGGCACTAGTGAGATCTTCACAGATCTACAAGAATAACACCAACTGGCATTAAGGCTGTCTTAAATGCACTCCCATGATAATGAGAATGATGACTACCTTATATGCCATCCTAGAACTCTCATCCAGTGGCTGAGAACAGAATTGAACTCCTGGAACTGAGTTGCAAAGAAGAGTTGCAAAGGAATCAAGATAGGGCTGGCGAAACCCACAGAGGCAGCTGACTTAAACATGGGGGAACACATAGACCCCAGGATGATGGCTGAGGGGCCAGCATGGGACTGATCCAGACATCCCTTCCACCGAACCTGGGTGACAGAGAGGAGGTCTTGGCAATCTGTGGGTCCCTGGAGAGCGGAGCAGTATTTATTCCTGGCATACAAAAGGACTCTGGGAACCCCTACATGTGGAGGGATACTCTCTCAGCCTGGACACATGAGGAAAAATCTGGGCCCTTCCCGGGATGATGTAACAGACTCTGAAAATGCCTCATGGAGGCCCTTGCCCTCCCTGGGGATCAGAGGGGGGACAGAGTGGGGATGAGGGTTTGGGAGTATTGGGGTTGGGGGAGGAGAGAAGGGAGAGGGAACTGAAAGTGACATGTGTAAAAAGTTAAATATGTATATATATATATATATATATAAAGAATTTGTAGCATGAGTTCAAATTAGTTTTAATAATAAAAGTCCAGAGTCAGATATAGGGAAATATAGGGAAGAAGCCATACCCACACCTTACATCACCAACTTCTCAGCCAAAGGGGACATAACCTATTGTGTTCTCCCACCTTATATTCTTCTTTCCATCAATCCACATCACTTCCTGTCTGTCTGTATAGACCTCCCATCCTCTATGGTTTGCTGATGGCTGGTTCCCCCCTCTGGTCTTCATGCAAGCTTTATTTGATACAGTACAAACAAGATATCACCACAAGAATTAAAATGAGGTCTCCAAACCAGGGCAAAAATGCCCCCACTAGACACAATAGGTTAATAAATAAATAGTCCATTTCTATGAAGGTGTTAATTATTTCAGAGTTGTTGGTGTCAGCACCATTCCTTATACATTACAAGCATAAAAACCTATTAACTTACTATTGTTTACCATTTGTAACTTGAATGTAAAACTCTATTGCTGAGGATATCAGAGTTTCAGTCATAGAATATGAGTGTTAAAACTGGTACTGACTTGGAACCCTTAACCCTGCTTACTAGCTTTCATAGTGCTGGATGGTGTTATGTAGTATAGTAGAGGAGGAAATAATACCTAGTCATATTCTGATATGAACCCTGGAAGCTACTATAATAACTTTGCAGGGTATGGGAGCAGGTATGTTCACTGGAGCAATAATGGCATCACCAACCACTTTCACAATGGAGTTTGTCCTACCTTGTAATGTGAAACTTATGACTTGGAGAATTATTAGTCCAAGACCTCTAAACCAACTCACAATGACAATGATATATCCCTATTTAAATGCACATCTCATTCCTTGTCTGATATAATTTTATTTGAAGTGAATCGTGATTAACAGAGACTCACAACTGGCAAAGATATAGAGAATAAGAGACTGAGGAATGCTCATTTCCCCTCCTCCTCTGAAGCCTTGGTCATCATTGTAGAGATAAGGTATAGAGAGTGTAAGAGAAAGACAACATTGGTAATTACAAGGAAATAGAGACTTCTGAGCAGCTGAACACATGGTTGAAGTGGTTAGCCTGTCTAAATCTAAATCAAGTTATGGAAATAACAGCTGTCTAGAGGCAATTTTTAGATCCTGGGAAAGGAAAAACTATAATTGTTTTGTCTATGAGTGTAGCTCCTAGTAAGCTGACCGTTTTGGAAGATCACACATTATAGATTGGGCACTAAAAATTGTTTCTTTAGGGATTAAAATTTTAAAAAGTTGAATGAGTGGTGAAGGAAGCATCTGTGAAGAGTTTGGGAGGGAAGATGGGTATGATCTAAACAGGCGGTAGAACACTCTAAAAAGCATATTTTAAAAATGATAGTCTCTCTCAACCAATTGATCAAAGCAGGGGGTACTGTTTCTCCATACTTTACTATTACAGCCTCTTAAGACTTCTGAAAACGAGTCTCCTTTAAGTGAGAGAATCATTTTAATACTGGTACAACCTTTAGAAATTTTTATTCCCCAACATGTCCCCAAAGAAATGTCCCATATTTATCCCTTTAAGTTTAGATATATTTTAGATATTATTTTAGATCTTTTTGCTTCAATTATTTGCCTTTTACTTTCATCTTCCTGTCATGGTTTCTGTGTCCTGTAGGATGTGTTTATTGGAAGTGGCCTATGCACAGCGATGTTGGTAGGTAGTGGACACTTCTTTAGTTGGGGGGGCACAGTAGAACACAACAAGGTCATCATAGACAATATTGACAAAATGGTTTTGTTAGCTCTTATAACAGCAATACTACGTCTCTGTTACAGTTTAAACCTAAAATCTCTCCTAAGGCTATCTCCTAAAATCTTGCTCTCTAGTTTATGTTATTAGGAGTTGATATACTCTATGAATTGGAGTATAGTAGAAGGAACCATACTCATTAAGAAATTGACACAGCCTAATTTTTCTCTCCTTTCTGGGCCTCTACAAGTGAGAAGTTTGTCCTATCATTTTTTTCTACCAACCACACTGCTTTGCTGTGTCACAGAATCTAAGGCAACAGGATAACCAACCAATCATAGACTGAAGTCTCTATTACCAAGACTTATAAATCTCTCCTTTCCATTAGTTTATTGTGTCAATTATTTTTTATTTTCTTATTTTAATTTTAAATAGCTTGCTTCACATGTCAAACCCAGTTCACTCTCCCTCCACTCCTCCCGCACCCCCCACCCCCCAGCCTACATAGGAGATATCTAGAGTCTGTCATTTAACTCAGGGCAGGGTCCAGGCACTCCCCTTAGTGTCCAGACTGAGAAAGCATCCCTTTTGTGTTATGGCACACGAAGTCTGTTTGTATGCCAGGGATAAACACTGATCCACTGCCCAGGGCCCCATAGGTTGCCCAGGCCTCCTCACTGACAATTATTTTTTATCTTAGCAGTAATTGGGTTAACATGTCTCAAAATAGTAAGATGATATTAGACAAGTGCATGCACATGAATCCCTGTTCATATAATTCCTCACTTTGTATTTCAACCCTCTTTATGAGCCAGTCAAGGCAGGCCTCTCCAGAATGTGTGCATTGGACATCGCTCAAGAACTGGGATTGTAGCCTCTATGAAGTTCTTTGACTATATACTGTACACAGCATCCGTGAATGTATTATGAAAACAGGAACTGGACTGATGAATGCAGTATTGGTCACTCAACTTTTGGTACATATGTTGGCTTGTGATTTCAATTATTATTTTTAACTGCACTTTATCATACTTTTTCCCAAATATTTAAGGTTATTTTCAATTTCACAAGCAGTTATTAAATAAATAAATGGAATGGTGAAAAGGAAGACAAGATTTTTAGGAGGAGAAAGGTAAAACATGAAAGAAAGGGAATGGATGTGTGAAATGTTAAAAACTAATAATACTAGTGATTAAGAGCTCAGAGGTGTTTCTATTGGAAATTTTTCACTGTAAACCACAGAGACTATGTTAATACAATAATATGAGGAAGAGTGGGAGAGTAATAATCATGTATAGGCTGGAATCATTTTTTACATTCAATTATGAAAAAGCATAGGAAAAGAAAGCAGTGTATAAAAGCTGTTTTAAAGAGAAGTTTGAGCAGGTATTTACTTACTAGACCATTGCTTTGTTGAAAATGGGATCAAAAGCTGAGGGTCAGACCACTGATTGATGGCATGATGGAAAGATTAGACATTTGATAACGCATTCTCCTGTAGGATATGGGAAGGTTGGATCTGAAAGCACCAGTATTTTAAAAAATGAGGCTATTAAATTGTTTTCCCTCCTGGGAAAAGTTTAGGTGTCTGTTATAAAGGACACCTTTTCCTTTGGGCAAAATAACTAAACCAAAGAGATTGTATTGCTAAAACAGGCACCTGACATTGTGGGGGCCGGCATCTGCACCACTTTTATAGCTGTAACCTTGGAAAGTCCTTTAGTGATTTCTGCGTGACTTACCTCATCAGTAATATAAATATAATAGGGATTTGGGGAAGCTTAGTGAGATAATGTCTCTAATGTGGATTTAGAAATAAATTAGAGAAATTAGTTTCTTGCATGCACAGCCACTGGCAAGAGTGATAAAGTGAACATTTGCAGCAGGAGCTGTGTCAGAGGACCTTTCAACCAGGAAAACACATTCACACCTTTAACTCATGAGTAAGCCCACATAACACACTGATTATAGCTTTTAAATGAACTCTAAATTTGCTGTTTAGACATTGTTAGCAAACTTAAAATCCCCACATGGAAGTAGTACTCAGGGATTAATTTGTATTTATTAATACTGATCTCAAGTTCTGTCCTGCAAACCAGGCCAAATAATGAAATTATTTCTAGTTTCTGTGCTTATCATCCAGAAATCTCATTTAACACAGAGATAAGTGGTCAGGAGGGAATTTTTAGGTGCTGTGCTTTAAAGCACATATTTTTATCGTAGGGAACATATTAGCATAAGATGATATAATCCTAAATAGTTTTTCAGATATAAATTCTTTGGGGCCATCTTTTCTAACTACACTATCTTTGAAATGTGTTTTAATTATGACAATATATGTTCACAGGAATTTTATTTTGTTTTAAGCAGATGTCCACTCCTGCAGTAGCTGTAGTCAAGTCTAATATAGTTGTATTTTTGTTACTCTCAGCTTCTCATGGTCTCTTTGCTTCACTTATAATATCCTTTTGGAAAATAAGTGAAACAATGCCACTAGGAAGGAAACATTTTAGTATGGAATGAAATCTGAAGATACAGAAATTATATAGAAATTAGCAGAACGAATTTAATAGGCAGTAGAGTACAGTGCAGTGAAGACAGATACCAATTCACTATCACAAAAGATAACATCAGGTTCAACAAACTCTCCTTTTCTTTCTGGACTATTAGGAAGGCTGAATTTGTACTTTGAACCTCTGGGGGATTATAAAAGAGCTTCTGTAGACTGGAAATTTTAGATCAGGTCTGCCTCTTATTTCAGGTTAGTTTGTACTAAACCCAGTACATGTTTTCTCTCTTTTGCTTCCAAAACAACTTTGGTGGTTTTCTTTAAGAACAGTAAGACAAGGATGTAGGGTAATTATATAGTACGGAACATGTAACTACATTTCTTCTTTCACCATTAATGTTAATGAAGATTAAAAGATATTGAGTAAATTCCAAATACTGGAATTCTGTTATTTACAGTGTTGGAATTTTGTTTTGTTTTGTACTGATTGTAAATGTGTACTGGCTCTTCAATCTTGAAGTAAAAAAATAAATAGAAATGGTATATTTTGCATTCTAGCAGTCCACAGTTGAGAGACTTTGAATTTTTAAATTTAAATTAGAAACAAGGTTGCTTCCCATGTTAATCCCACCTCCCTCTCCCTCCCCTCCTCGCATGCCTTCCTACCAACCCTCCTAGTGTCCCACAATCCCTGCTCTGTTCCCAAGGGTGGGTGAGGCCCTCCATGGGGTATATTCAAAGTCTGTCATTTTCTTCAGGGCAGGGCCTAGAAATGGCTCAGCCATTAAAGGCTAGGCTCACAACCAAAAATTTACAAGACTTTGAATTTTTAAAGAGATTTTGGATTTTAAAAGATACTATAATTTTTCCCAATATATGTTTATATTTAAATTAGAAATGTGAATGTTTCATGTCAGTCCCAATTCCCTCTTCCAACCCTCCTCCCTTGTCCTCTAGCCCCCCACCCAGTCCCTACATCATTCCCAGGGAGGGTTGGGGGGATCTTTAAAATCTGTCATTTCATTCTGGGCAGGACCTAGGCCCTTCCCCATGTGTTCAGGCTGACAGAGCATCCCTCTATTTGGAATGGGCTTCCAAAGCTCATTCATAAACCATGGTGAACACTGATCTGCTACCCAAGGCCCCAGTAATTTCTGTGGCCTCCTCCCTGGCTCTACATTAATGGAGTCTAGATCAGTCACCTGTTGGCCTCTCAGGCATCAGTCTGAGATTCAAGAGCTTATCTGGTCAGCTGTCTTTGTGGGTTTCACCATCATGGTCTTGACCCTTTTGTGTATCATTCCTCCATCTCTGTCACTAAGTTCCATGAGTTCAGTTCAGTGTTTAGCTGTAGGTATCTGTCTCTGGTTGCATCAGTCTCTGGATGAAGGTTGTAGGATGGCATATAGGATAGTCATCAACCCTATTATCAAGGAGGGGCTATTAGTGTAGTCTCTCCACTATTGTTTAGTTTGCCAGTAGGTGCCGTCCTTGTAGATCTCAGGAGACCTCACTAGTGTCAGCTCTCTCCTCAAGCCTAAAATGACTCGATCTATTATGGTATCTCTCATCCTGTTCTCCTCTATTCTTACCTCGACTCAACCTTCCTGCTCCCCCAAGCCTTCTTCTCCCTTCCTCTTATCCCCCTCTCTTTTTCTTGGATTCCTCTCCCGTCCCCCGATGTTCCCAATGTGCTTAGGAGATCTTGCCTCATTCCACTTCTCTGGGGTATCATGCATCTCTCTTGGGAACCTCCTTTTTTCCCAGACTCACTGGAACTGGGATTGTAGGCTGACACTCCCCTGATCCATATTTAATATCCACATATGAGTGAGTACCTACCATGTTTACCTTTTTGTGTCTGGGTTACCTCACTCAGGATGGTTTCCTCTAGTGCCATCCATTTGCCTGCAAATTTCAAGATTCCATTGTTTACTCCACTGAGTAGTACTCCATTGTGAAATGTACCACATTTTCTCTATCCACTCTTCACTTGTGGGGCATCTAGGTTGCTTCCAGGATCTAGCTATTACATATAATGCTGCTATGAATATAGTTATTAAGGAAACTCAATTTAAAAGTATTTGGATATCTAAAGATTGTTGGGCTTTTTAACTTCATAAAAGTTTTTATATTATTATGTTGATATTATTGTGTGATCTTGGGAATGAGCAAGGAAGTTCTGACTTAACAGTGCTATGCTTCATGCTGACAAGATTTCAGTTTTGCTGCATGGTTTCATGTAAAATTGCCACAAGCTAGAGTCATCTGGGTGGGGAGAGTATCGGTTAAGAAAATGCTTCCAAATAATGAGGATGTATGTAACCATTCTATGGCATTTTTTTAATCAGTGAAAACAGGGGAAAGCCAGGCCTGTTATAGGTAGTGCAATCACTAGGCTGGTGGTCGTAAGCTCTATAAGAAAGCAAGATGAGCTAATATGAAAGTGTAAGCCAAATAAATGTTTCCTATCCTACTTGCTATTGGTCATGATGTTTCATCACAGAAGTGGAAAACATAACCAAGAGTGGAGCCAAAAACTTTCTTATTGAATTTAATATCTGGTCCAAGAGTGGGAACCCATATCTAAAATTGGTATTAAAACCAAGAACCTGCGACTAGAAAGATCTTTGACTCCCAGGAAGGACTCCCAACTATTATTCTGCTAAATGGACATAATATTAACCTAATATTTTATACAAATATTCACAACTAGTAAAGTCAGAGAGAAAAAGAGGTTGCACAATGTTTAGCCATAATTGTGACATGTATGTCATACCTCTATCCTCCAAACTCAGGAATCATGGTGAAAGAATGGAAAGTAAGATTGTAAGATCCACAATATTAATGACTACAAGAAAATAGTTCTTTGGACACAATGAAGGTTTACATGTGAACTCACTGTTGAGGCATCATAGGCAAGTCTGGTAAGTCCAAGCCATACAAATTCCCAAATTGGAGAAGGAATCATTGATAACTTTTAAAAGAGGGGGGCTCAATTTTCCTTAAAGGCATGTTGCCTGGAGAACTATTACTAACTTTTAAAAGAGGGAGCCTCAATTTTCCTTAAAGGCATGTCTCCTGGAAGGCCTACCAAGTGCTAAGACATGTTCTACATCTGCCACAATTTTGGGAGCACCAATTGGACATCATTTGTTAAAGGAGAGAAAGAACAGAAAGTGCTGCGAGAGTGGGTCCAGATAGGATAATAAACCATAGTGTCAAATTCTCAGTGCTAATAAAATTTTTATTTAAATAAAAAAATCCATGAAAATTATAAATAATATAAATATCTTATATCAGGTTTCCAGTTGCTTTAGAACTATATAACTTCTTTGGAAAAAAGATCTTAAGATTCAAATAGTACAAGGAAGAGAATATTAACACTCTTTAGAAATTAAAAAACATAGTAAAGAAAGAATAAAAAATTTAGAAGCTGAACCATAGACTGTGTTACCCAATTTCTAAGTTAAAGTGAAGTCCGAAGGTATCCATTAGGGCTGAATAACCTCTGGAATTTAAATATGCAACTGGTTTATGCTAAGTACTGTAAACGCATTTGAATATTTGTTGGATTTTCCAATTGGAAGATGTACCTCAAAAATGCTCAGGTATAGCTTGCAACAGAAATTCCAGAAACTGAAAAAAATGGTTTATTGAAAATTCCCATTGAATAAATTAACATTAAAGATATGCATACACTTTTGTTAGTTAAAATTATATCAGAGCTTCATGTTGTATCTCATCCGAGCTCTATATATGTTAGTTTACCATAGCAATATTGCTGTAGGGTACACACATTTTTCTAGCATTTTTATGTGCTAGAGAAATCACAGAGGAAACATGATCTCTGAGTCAGTGGTGTATATAGCATTAGGAAGTAACCAGATTTCAGAAGCCTAGTAATTTTCAGGGATAATGAAGTGACTTGTCTAACATAAAAGGGTCCCTAGGACTTATTGTCAATAGTACATAAACTGGAGGCATATGACTTTAAGCTTAGCCTTATGTAGGAGGAGGGAGTGGGATCAGAATATCATGGCAATCATCGCTATATAGAAAATTCAAGACTAACCTGGGTTACATGAGAACCTGTCTCAAATCAAGGAGGCTAACCATATTTGGAAGTAAAATATACAGGGCATTCAATTCTCTGGTCCAACTACTACATGATTTGGCAACACAAAATGTTAACTTTTATTTTTCCTTGAGAAACAGTGCTTTACTATAGTGATCAACAAATAATGGAAATGAATTTCTTAGTGAATTTTAGAAGTAGTACTTTGTAGGGAAGGAAAAGGATATATAGCATTATTTGAGTAGTTAGAATACCATTTGAAAATGACTTCAGATGTCCAAGAATACCAACTGCATTAGTTACTTTTTGGTTGCTGTGATGAAAAGTTATGGCCAAGGCAACTTTTAGAAAAAAGAACCTCGTGATAGTCTATAAATGGGTGGATAACATGGCAGCAAGCAGCAGGCATGGAGCCAGGAGCAGGAAACAGTGACTGTACGGTCGCAAAAATCACAGGAGACAATTGAAAAGTGTTGGAAGAGTTAGTCTTCAGGGAAGAATCTTCAAAGCCCATCCTAGTTTGATTCCTCCCACTCTTGTGTGTGAGGCATGTGCTTTGTTCAACAACTACAGTTTTTGTTTTCTGAAAGACTAGCAAAAATGATACCCACATGCATGTACTGCATGCTTGCACATACACATGTACACTTGCATCCCACCCCCCCCACACACAGGGGAAAACAAAAGATAAACATAAATTAATGAATTATATAGTTTTTGGAGGTTGGAGAGTTGAAGATGTTTAATCTCATGTCCTGATTCAGGGCCACATTCCTTCCAGAAATAGCAACCCACTTACCCCTCCCATAAACAATGCCACCTACTAAGGACCAAATGTTCAAATGCCTTTGTGAGGAATATTTTTATTTCTATCTCAACTCACCGCACCTGCTGACTTTTTGTTGCTGTTGTTATTGTTAACTTTGCCAACATGAAACTTGCTGGAGTCATGTCTGAAGAGGAAATGTGAAAGGAGTAAATGACCATACCAGATAGACTTATGTTTAAGCCCCTGGGACATATTCTTGATTGATGATTGTTATGGATGTTCCAAGGGCAGGCCATCTGAGTCATTAGTCTGTGTTCCTACATGATCTCTGGTTTAGTTCTTGCTTTTGGGTTTCTGATTTGTTTCCTGGTGATAGGCTACAAGTTATAATATGAAATAAAACTTTTCCTCCCCAAGTTGCTTTTGGTATGTCCTCTATCAAAATTGTAGAAGAATTATTAAGACATCGACATGGAAATTTGTTCTACCATCCTAAAATATAGTTAATAAGTGTTTGAAAACAAAGGAACAGTCAAGAAACCCAGATTCTGGTAACAGAAAAAAAACTGTCTACACATACTCTGCAGGATGATCATAGTAGTTGCAGAGAATTTTGGTCACATAAATTAGGATAATGAAAATTGTGACAATTCAATAGAGTTGTTCAATGTAGAACTCTAAATAAAATATTAAATAGCCAGATGATTATTATGAAACTGATTAAGAAACAGGAAAATATAATACAAATTTCCCTGACATGTAGCAGATGCAAATACTTCCAAAAAAGAGGTTTGCATAAGTGACATTCATAGAAGACTTATATAAATAAAAGATTTATAAAAATTACTACTAGTAGTATAGAAGATAGGTAAGTACATAAAGGACATCTTAGGTATATTATATTTGTATCAAAGAAGAAGGGTGATAGTGTGTTTTTATTTTTAATTCACTTCATTAATTTGGTAAAAATCACATGGATAGATCATATTGACACAGGAGCTTTTTAGGTCTCTATATCTATATGTGAATATAGCTTTACCCCTATAACTTACACTTATTTCCCTTTGGAAAGAACTTAAATTACTTTCAACTCTCAACATCTCATGTATGATGAGTTCTGGGATTTAAAACTTGGCAAATCAAATGGAAAGAAGAAATATCTAAAATAGAATTGTTGGGGTGCCAAAAAATTCTTAGCAAAATTCATACTTTATTAGAGTTATATCATATAGAAAATCATTATCATTGAATGTCTCAACTAATGTTTCTTTTGTTTTTTTTTTCTGAGATAGGGTCTCACTGTGCAGTTCAGGATAGCCTAGAATCTACTCTATATCCAAAGGTCTCCATAAACGGGCAATGACACTCCTGCCTCAGCCTGTCCAGTGTAGGGATTACAGACATGAGCCACCATGCCCAATATATAAAAGAAAACAAAAGTAAACTATTTTGAAAAATGTACTATATATATATATATACATATACATATATATATATATATAGTGTGTGTGTATGTGTGTGAATTTTTTTTGGTTGTGTTATGTCATGTCATTATAGTAACTAGAGTTCATTATTTATAAGGACAATCGGAGCTTTTCCAATAGTAACTACCCTCTACACTCACAGTTAACAAAAGAAGTGCATACTCTTCTTTCAGGAACAAAAGCCAAGAAGGCCTGTGAAGGTAGGAGATGAAAAGTCTCCAAACAAACCTAAAGGTGTGTCAAGTTTTAAAAATGTCCTTAGGTGAAAACTGATCCATTAGAACTTTAGAAACGTTTGAGCCAATTGTAACTGTTGGGTAGGAGAGTCATAGACATATGAAAATGTAAGGAGAAACGATATTGTCACTGTAGGGTATGCAAAGCATCAATTAAATGAGAAACTTAACTTTCACATAGACTACTATTGAAAACTACCTATTATAAAATTAAAATGAACTGTCTTTGATAGGAGACAGATCAAATTATTTCTGATGAGAGTAATTTAGAAATTTTTAAATAGTCAAAAATTTTGTTAGCTATGATAGTTCTCAATGGGTCTGTATTTTTGTGAAAAAAAGAAGACTCAAATTGTCTTTTATAGATTAACTTTTATAGATAATTATAGGGTGGTCTGCATTCTAGAAGATGGAATATCCTCTTTGAGCAGAGAACAAATTAGGTTCATTGGTTTTCTATTTGAGAAATATCATATTCACTCCCAAGGTAGAACAATGTCAAAGTTTTTGCTATTAACAATTTGGGACCTTCTAGGCTTGGAGTTTTCTACAGTGCACAGAATCATTTTGTATAGAATCTTATCCAGGAATCATTGTAACATTTGTTATCAAACTGTGGGAAATGGGTATAAAGAATAGAAGAAATGCTGAAGGTCTGGTTAGAACTACTTGAATGACTAATAAACTCCTTTTTATCTCTGACACAGGAGTCTTGAAAATTCTGCTCACATCTAAGAGACCTGTCAAGCTAAGGCATTAGCTTGTAAATCCAATAAAATCTCAAACCTCTCATTGTTCTTGACACACTGTCCTGAATTCTTCCTCCAGCATTAAGTAACAAAGTTTGCTCTTTGTTTCTTTTTTTTTTTTTGGTTTTATGAGACAGGGTTTCTCTGTATTGTTTTGGAGGCTGTCGGTCCAGCCTGGACTCGAACTCACAGAGATCGGCCTGCCTCTGCCTCCCGAGTGCTGGAATTAAAGGCGTGCGCCACCACTGCCCGGCTTTGTTTCTTGTTTTAACTAAACTAATCTTGTACCACAATTATTTCATGATGTAGCAGTAGAAATCTTCATTACACTATTAAGATAAATATTAATATGCATTCTAATGACAAATGCAATGTAAGTGAAATTATTTTGTTGAAAATAACAATGAATTAACTATTGTGTAATATATTATTTGTTCTTTTGCTCAAAGTGCTCTACAGGGGTGTAATGTTAAATATATATTACAAATATATTGGACAAAAGATGAAAGATACCATAATAGATGGAGTAATTATAGGTTTGAGGAGAGAGCTGACACTAGTGAGATTTCCAGAGATCTACAAGAGTAACACCTACTAGCAAACTAAGCAATAGCAGAGAGACTACATTAATAAACCCTCCCTGATGATAAGGTTGATGACTATCTTATATGCCATCCTAGAACCTTCATCCAGTGACTGATGCAACCAGAGGCAGATATCCACAGCTAAACACTGAACTGAACTCCTAGAACCCAGTGACAGAGATGGAGGAGTGATGAGCAAAGGGGTCAAGACCTTGCTGGTGAAACCCACAAAGACAGCTGACTGGACAATGGGGAGCTCTTGAACCCCAGACCTATGGCTAAGAGGCCAACAGGAGCTGATCCAGACTCCATGAATGTAGTGCCAGTGAGGAGGCCTCAGAAATCTCTGGATCCTTGGGTAGTAGATCAGTGTTTACCATGGCATACGAATGAAATTTGGGATCCCATTCCACATGGAGGGATGCTCTCTCAGCCTGGACACATGGGGAAGGGCCTAGGTCCTGCCCTGGATGAAATGACAGACTCTGAAGATCCCCCATGGAGGGCCTCACTGTCCCTGGGGAATGATGTGGGGATTGGGTGATTGACTGGGAGGCTTGGGGGAGTTCGTGGAGGGACAAGGGAGGAGGTGTGGGAGAGGGAGCTGAGATTGACATGTGAAGCATGCATGTTTCTAGTTTAAATAAAAACATATATTGAAAAAATAGTTGTAATTTTTAATTGAAAATAGATTTTTCTCTCATATAAGACATCCTGATCATAGTTCCCCTCCCTCTACTCCTCCCAGCTCCCAGCACCTTCCCTGTCTCCTAAATCCACTCACATTTGGTTTCCCTTCAGGAAACAGCTGGCCTCTAAGAGATCAGAAGCAACCATGACAAAACAAGATACAACAAGACAAAGCAAAAGTCCTCATTTTGTCACCGGAGAAAGAAACCAATCGGAGGAAGAGTCACAAGAGTGGTCAAAGAGTCAGAGATGCACTGGCTCCCACTATTAAGAGTTTCACAAAAGAAGACCAACGCAACAGCATAACCTATATACAGAGGATCTGGTGCTGTCTCTTGTACCACTTCAGTCTCTGTGAGACCATATGAGCCTTGCTTAGTTAACTCAGTGATCTGTGTTCCCATCCCCTATGAATCCTACAGTCTTTCTTGCCCATTTTCTGTGAGCTTCCCAGAGCTCTGAGGGAGGGATCCAATGGACAACTCAAGTTTAGAATCTTTCTTGGCATAATGTCTACTGCATAAGACCTTGCTTTGAGTCTCTGCAGCCTCTTGCATTTGATGCTGAAGGAAGCCTCAATGTTGATGACTGGACAAGGCCCTAATCTATGAGTTTAGCACAATATTATCAGAAATCTTTTCTTTCTTTTTCTTTTGTCTTCAGCCCTAGGTCTTTGGGCTATCCATTATCAGATTCCTGTCTATCCAGACAAGCAATGTAGTGCACAGATTTATTATGATGTTGTGACTCTCCAGTTAAACCAAATACTGGTTTTGTATTCCTATAATTAGTGTGCCACCATTTTCCCAGCATGTAGATTGATGTTTCGCTCCTGCCCACTAGTTCATGAATAAACACTCAAAGGCTTCATATTAATTACACTTGTTTGGCCAATGTCTCAAGCATGTTACTGACTATCTCTCTCAATTAAATTATCCAATTTTTACTGATCTGTGTACCATTACTTGGCCATGGCTCACTTGTAATGTTCTGATATATTACTCCATCGGCAGCTACATGGTGTCTTCAGCATTCCACCATATTTTTCTCTGTATCTCTCTTTAGATTTACCACCTAGATAAGTTTTTCTCTGCCAAAGGCCAAAACAGCTTTATTCATCATCCAATAAAAGCAACACTCATTTGCATCATACAGAAGGACTTCCCACATCATGTCCTCTTTTCTTCCTAACGAAAAAATGGTTTTAATTTTAATATAGTAAAATTACATACAACAAAAGTTTCTTGCCCAAATGGCTATCCTTGCCACATTAAAAGCAAACTCAATAAGGAACTTCTTTGATTCCCATCGTCCTCTTGAAGTAATTGATGCTGTCAAGAACAGACCTGTCTCACTGTTCAGAAACTCTAAGGTTTTTTTTGTTTGTTTGTTTTTTGTTTTTACCAGAGATCACAGAGATCCGCCTGCCTCTGCCTCCTGAGTGCTGGGATTAAAGGCGTGCGCCACCACTGCCCGGCAAATCTAAGGTTTTAAATATTTTAAATACCATATTCTGTAAGTCTTTGAAGTATTTAAAGATTACCTATTCATCTGAAATATTTCTCTGTATGTCTAGAAAACCTAACATAACTCTAAGTTTACTCTTATTGATAACTATTAATTTCTATTTCTTAACTATACATTACATTTATAAATGTAATTTATAAATGAACTTCATAAGCATAATACCTTAAACAAGAGTGGAAATACAGATATAGTTAAACAAAATTGACCTTAAATTTGTATTAATAAACCAAAATCCATACCAATGTAATGAATTCATTTCTATATCATATCTCCTTTTGCTTTAGAAAGAGATTGACTGTGACCATTAATCATTTATAACTAACCCCCTTTAAATGAAAACAAACATAAGAAACCATTTCTGGAATTTGGGTATAGATTGTTTTAAACTACTACCAGATGATTGGGGGCACTGACAATCATCAGGTCTTGATGAAGTAGCCTGAGTGGTTGGTCCATCTCAGCCAGCAGCCCTGAGGCTGTCATAGACGTTGGATAACCTGGACCATCACTCTCATAGGAGAACTCTCAGAGGGTCTTACTTGATCAAACTGTTTTAGTGTGGGAAGAACCCACAGCTTCTCATTTTCTGTGGAAACAAAAGAAGAGCAGCACATCCTTAGACCCAAATTTTGAAGTCAAGATATCTTGAAAACACATATTTTGGTCTAGCTTAGTGGCCTCCACAATCAAATGTCTCTCTGTAGTTAGCACATTAAGTCAAACAAATTAAACAAAATAATATACATAATCTAGACTCTCTATCTTCCATCGTTACATGGTATATTTTTTACTCTGTCTTTTAAAAACTTCAGTTAATTACCTTTCAATTATTTTTTTATCTATGAGTCTGTTTATCTTATATCCACTCTCCCCGAAGCCCATGCACATTTATCAAACACACCATGACCTGTTTAGAGGCCTTCTTTTTTCTTTCTTTTTTGTCTGAAGGTCTTGTTATTGTGTATCTGTAATCTTTCTCATTATGACAGCTTTTAAAATGGTAAGCTGTCATGGCTAGCATCAAAGCAGTGGCTTTGACTGTTGGCTTCTCCCCATTTGGCTTTTCTACATGGGAGAAGTAGCATGCCTACTCCGAAATGCTGTTACTAAATAGGGTGCAGCTGGACTACAAACTTTTTTGTCTGTATGAGCAAAGGCTAAATCTGCCAAATAACTTGCAGCACACTGCCCACACACCCCATTTAAGTGTTCTGTAGCAGAACCTCCTGAAAGACCTGTGCATGCTGCCAACATGAACCAGGAAGTTGGTGTTTAAAACCCTTTTTAAAAAACATATTTAGGCTTTATGTGGATGTATGTGAGCCATGTTGTGTGCCATATGTAAATGGAGGTTTCTTTCTCATGAACTAGTTCCAGAATAAACATGTATACTGTTAGTATAATTGTTTGGCTAGTGGCTCATGCATATTACTGACTGGCTGTCACAATTAAATTAACCCATTTTTACAAATCTATGTATCACCAGTAGGCTGTGGCTTACCAATAACATTCTGATCTTTAACTCCTTCAGTGGCTACATGGTGTCTCCTTCACTCTGCCACTCTACATCCTTTTCTCTGCTTCATCATTTGGATTTTCTGCTTAGCTATATTCTGCCATGCCAAAGTCCAAAATAGTTTTATTCATCAACCAATAAAAGCAAAACATATCTGAAGCATAAAGAAGGACATCACATGTCACAAGCAATTCTTTCAGGCAGGACAGATTGTAGGACAAGGGATTTGTCTCTGGATAGTTGTCGAGGTTTCTCTTTTAGTAGCCTGCAATGTGTACATTTCCTCTCCAATAAGACTGGAATATAGGGATAAAAGCTACCTTCAGACACCACTTAACCTCTCTATGTTCAAAAATCTGTATGTTGTCATTGTCAAAATGGCTGCCAGTGTCTGTTTTTGGAGAGTGACCGTTTGTCTTAGCATCAACTGGACAGGAAGCAGTTGGGGTTGAGAATTGTGGAGATCAAGGTGTGTCGAACAGGATGATGGGAGAGAGGGCAGGTTGAGATAGTTGGAATTGGCAGGTATCTGGGATGAGCAGAAACCTGGTGCAATGGAGACTTCTTGGAATCTGAGTTTAATCCTAGTGATCACTCCTAGTAACAGAGGATACAGAGTCTGAACTGAACATTTTTTATAACTAGGCAAGAAATGGGGGATATCCTCATATATTCTGTGAATATATGTTTCTCTTATTGGTTGATGAATAAATTCTGATTGTTCAG